TCAGGAACTTATTTCACGACGAAAACAAAAAAAATACATATATTAATTGTCTATACAAATCTGCAAGTGCTTCTGCTAATCCCTGGAGCGGAAGCAGTTGCTGAGTCTGGTCCATAATCCAGCTTTATCTATCTTGTTATGTGTCTGGCTCTTTGAAATCGGCTTTAGTGCATAGCTCCTCAAATGCGTTGACAACATTCTGGAGCCTTGCAACAAACTCGATCAAAAGAGACGCAAATGTGGCTAGCGACAAAGAACTTGCGCTCTCATATACTTTAGATTCTATCTCATTGATCATAGAACCGCCTATGAATGAGACGCTTGGCCAATTTTCTCGGTTCCTAAGCATCATGCTCTCTGTTGAAATCCATAGCTGAGAATCATTAACAGTGTGTGGATTCTGATGATGGTTGTTGTCCCAAATCTGGCTAAGGGATTGGATCACTTTGCTCTCGTCGTCTTTAGCTTCGTGATAGTTTTGTTGTGCTTCTTCAGCTTCGGCTTTCTCTTTCATAGCAGCCCAGCTTTCTGAGTTGACAAGAAGGAAGGAGTTACTGTCTATTTTCATCTGCAGTTCCTCTGCTGCTCGTTGAACTTCTTTAAGAATGTTTCCTGGACTTAGCTTCTCCATTTTTTCCACCTTTTCTCCAAACAACCTCAAGACTTTGGCTCCTTCGTTTCCAACTCTTTGAAGTTCGTGACGGAAAGCCTGTCTTTTTTCTGGAGCTGCCTGTAAATCACACACCCATTGATATCACAAGTTTAAGAGCATTCTCGTATTCCAATCAAAATACAAGAATGTGTCTATAAATCCCTCCATACTAAGAGAGTGAAGATTTTCAAGGGTGTAAATTGCCTACTGTGTGCAAAAGAAATCTCTTTTTTCAACAACTCCTTCCTCAACAACTTCTAAGCACTGAACGCAAATTCTAAGCACTGAACGCAAAGCTTGCTGACAAGTGAAGTGACAACCATTCACTAGTAACAACATATTCTAAAAAAGAAGATCACACTCTGCAGCAATATGGTTCCTTTAGATATTTTCTTGGTTTCAAGCAGTTTTTGAGCAATTGAATGACGGATGTTAGACTTCGTTCTCAGAGTAACACAATCTAGTTAAACAGGAAGATTACCTAGTAGCATTTGGAGCAGTTAGGCATAGTCTCTAACAGTCATTATAGCAACTCATTTGCAAAAGGTACAGCCACAAACATCGAGAATCTCGGTGTCATGCCATAGATAGAATTGATATTATAAGAATATGGTAAGTTACCTGAATTTCCGAAAGAATGCAGCCATGCATTGCCATGACCATGAAAGCGCAATGCCTTACCGCACCACTAAGTTTGACATAGTTTGCCCACGGATGATGGAAAGTCCTGTAAGGTCCATGTGGAGGCTCCCATACCGCAAAATCAAGCTGCAAAAAAGGAGGTACCTTTTAATCATCAAAGTTCTTTTTAAGTTATCTAGTAATGCTCAACAAAATTACCCTACGGAAAACGCACCAGAGAATCTTCTTGGCTCGTAGATTGGACTACGGACCTGTATCCACTGTATAATGGGTCATCCGAAGCTTGGTACGTGAGAATCTTGGAAGGCACTCTCTCGTATTCAACACATTGCAAGTAGCCATTAACACATCCTGAAAAGTTAGGAAAGTAG